GGTTTTATCAATCCCATCAATATGGGTATCAAATGAAAGTGCTCAACAAGTAGAATAAAATGCACTATAAAAAATTAAAATCCAAGATGGCGGCCGCTACAAAATGGCGGATAACGTGGGTTTTATCAATCTAATCAATATGGGTATCAAATGAAAGGGCTCAACAATGCGAATACAATTTAATATGCAAAATTGAAATCTAAGATGGCTGCCGCTACCAAATGGCTGATAACAATTTTTTATCAATCCCATAAATATGGGTATCAAATAAAAGGGCTTGACAAGAAGAATACAGTGCACTATACAACCTCAATATTTAAGATGGGCGCAGCCACTAAATGGCGTATAATAATAAGATTTAAAATTAGAAATTGAATCTGTAATTTTGGTATAATTTATTTATATTTAAGTTTGGGAGAGCCATGCTTCGGCACGGATGGGTCGGCTCGACCGGAGTTATACCACGGCCTCACAGAAAACCGGCGTGAAACAACCACAACGTTGTGTTTCGCCGTGTGAGTGAGGTTACCGGAGGCCCAATCCCTTCCCAATCCCTAAAAGGTCGGCAACGCATCTGTAACTCCTTCTTTGTTGCGGGTGTCCATGGGCGACGCTGATTGCTTACCATCAGGTAATCCGTATGCTCGTTTGCCGTCCTATCACATAAAAAAAGGTATCTGTATAATTAATCCAGCCTGAATCCACCACCCACGTCTCAAGACTTTGTATCGTGTTGAGGACTGTGTGGCGTTAGGGTGGCTAAAAATGATACGTCGTTAGCGGTATACCACCCAAGTTAAAAGTTAAAACGCGCTGAGAACTGTATGGCATTAGGGTGGATAAAAATGATATGTCGTTACCGTTTTCCCCTCAAGACTCAGGCACATCTTGTTGTACATAGCCTTGCCCCTTTATTGGACTTCTGGGGTAGACAATTTTAATATCCATTACTCATGGCAACAAACTGGTAAAAAAAATGAAAAAAATACAAACACAAATCTTAGTAACGTCCATTCTCTGTAAGACAATGGAACGTGCAAGCCAACGTGGGAGCCAATGACATCTTAAGTGACCGACAATACGAGTGATGAGAGGTGATCCTCTAGCGTATGCCATCCACATCTGGAGCGAGGCCATCGAGAAACACGGGGAAGCGCTTGCCGTCTCCCTTGACATCTCGAAGGCTTTCGATAGGATATGGCACGAAAGCCTTATTAGTAAGATTCCCTCATTCGGTTTACCTACTGGATTGTGTGTTTGGATCGCAAACTTTCTGAGGGATTGGTCCATCCGTGTGAACATCAATGGTTGTTCGTCGAGTCAAATGACCATCAATGCTGGGGTCCCTCAGGGGTCAGTGCTCTCGGCAACATTGTTTTTGTTGCACATACATGACCTGCTTAAGCCCGGTCTTTTTGGGTATGCAGACGACAGCACTGTTGCTGAGAGCTACACATCCGGCGCACAAGCCAGTGGGTCACAGATCCAGTCTCTTCGAGAGGCTATGGTTGGGCACTTGAACTTGTCCTTGGAGGCTGTCTCTGAATGGGGCGATGCCAACATGGTCAGGTTCAATGCAGCTAAAACTCAAGCTTGTCTATTTTCTGCTAAAAGGAGTCAATTTAGTCCTGCTCCAACTTTCCGGGGTGTATCCGTGCCGATAACTGACCATCTTGATCTTCTTGGTATAACGCTGACTTTTAACAATTTTGGGCCATACATCGAAGCAAAACCTCAACTGGCTGCAAAAAAGTTGGGAATCCTTGCAGAGTGAAGGTGATATAAATAGTCGATTACAGAAACGACGGGAACAATCAGGTGGCTCTTAGTGGAGTAAGATCTTTGCAGGGACTACGTATAGAGGAGTTGGACTGCAATACATTAACGGGCAAGAAACCTTGCAATAATGAAGTATGAAATGAATTAAACAGAATGCGAAATAAAAACTAAAAACTAGAAAATAAAAATAGGTAAAAAAACTTTTTAAGTTAAACGGTTTTATGTTAAACATACATTGCAATGTTTAAGATAAATGTACTAAACACCAAAAAATAATAAAATAGATACAGTCGTGGGAATTATAAACATATGCATAGACTAGACTAAAATAAAACCGTGGGGCACGTCAATTGTCTACAAATCGCTTAATTCGTCGTTAGGTAGTTGACCCGCAGACGGTGAGGAATTTACTTACTATTTTCTTGCTCATGGAAATTCCAATAGTTATACACTCCATGTAAATATAATAAACGTACTACTTACTCAAGTCTTCAATCAGTGCGTCCTACCTGTCATGACATACGGAGCCGAAACGTGGACACTGACGGTGCGGCTGGTTCACAAGCTAAAAGTCACTCAGCGAGCTATGGAGAGGGCTATGCTCGGCGTTTCTCTGCGAGATCGAATCAGAAACGAGGTGATCCGGCAGAGAACCAAGGTAATCGACATAGCCCACCGGATTAGCAAGCTGAAATGGCAGTGGGCTGGCCATATTAGCCGAAGAACCGATGACCGTTGGAGTAGACGAGTTCTTGAGTGGAGACCGCGTCTCGGCAAACGTAATGTAGGACGTCCTCAGGCAAGGTGGAGTGATGATTTGCGCAAGATGGCTGGCAGGAGCTGGATGCGAGTGGCCGAAGATCGATCCCAGTGGCGTGCAATAGGAGAGGCCTATGTCCAGCAGTGGACTGAAAAGGGCTGATGATGATGATGATGACTCACTCACGACTATGAAACCCTAAAACTCGTTTCCACATTCTAGCGCTACTTATAACAAGTCCATCGTTGACAGTTGAACAACTGCCTAATTATCTATTGTACATTACAAAACAAACATTTTAATAACGATTGAAGACAATTGACGTGCCCCACGGTTTTATTTTAGTCTAGTCTATGCATATGTTTATAATTCCCACGACTGTATCTATTTTATTATTTTTTGGTGTTTAGTACATTTATCTTAAACATTGCAATGTATGTTTAACATAAAACCGTTTAACTTAAAAAGTTTTTTTACCTATTTTTATTTTTTTACTGATAAAACTATCATTCCCTTACCAAACCGTTCAAGATTCGAAATCCCATTCACACCAAACTCCATATTTTTGCGTCCGACTATACCAGAAGATATATATAAAATAATTAGAGACCTTAAGAACACAAATAGTACCGGCTATGATAATATTTCAACAAAAATTTTAAAACAAGTATCTTTTAAGTTATCATTTATATTTAGCCATATAATAAATTTAAGTATAGCAAATGGAGTCTTCCCGGAAAAGTTAAAATTAACCCTCATTAAACCGTTATTTAAAAAAAACAATAAAAATGATATGAGTTGCTATCGTCCAATAGCGCTTGTACCAGTTATATCGAAAATATCCGAGAAAGTGATTTATGATGGTATTTATAGTTACTTTGAAGGAGGTCATCTATTTTGTAATGAGCAGTACGGATTTCGTAAAAATAAATCAATTAACATAGCAGTATACAATTTCCTCCACAATGTATTAACCCACATGGATAGAGGTAAACCAACGTGTGCGCTGTTTATGGACCTTACAAAGGCCTTCGACTACGTAGACCACAAAATACTTCTAAATAAATTATACGCTTACGGTATCAGAGGAAATATTTATGACCTGATTGAATCTTACTTAAGTAATAGAGTACAGATAACACAAATAACAAGGATATGTCCCTATGAGAAAAAAATGATAAATTATTCATCCTCTTGTAGACAAGTTATATCTGGCGTTCCCCAAGGAAGTGTATTAGGTCCACTTCTTTTTATTATATACATAAATGACCTTCCAAAAGCGACGAAATATGATACAATTCTATTTGCGGATGATAGTACAGTACTGTTCACTGGAGAAAATAGCTCACAAATGGAACCAGAGATAAATATGACATTGTATTGTATTATTAGTTGGCTGACATCAAACAATTTACACATTAATCTTGACAAAACAAATTTCATGACATTTAGAAATAGAATAAGTAAATTAGCAAGTATGAACATAAATTACCGAAATAATAAGATCCAAGAAGTAGACGTTACAAAATTTCTAGGCATAAAGATAGACAATAATTTAAATTTTAAAGAACATATTCAAACTTTAAGCACTAAATTGAATAACTTTTCTTATGCATTGTTTAAACTTAAACAGACAGTTAATATTTTTACTGTACTCACAGCCTATAATGGTTATGTTGCACCAATTCTAAAGTATTGTGTTATTTTTTGGGGTAACTCTACTAATAAAGATGTGGTATTTAAAGCCCAGAAGAAGTGTGTACGAGCCATAACTAGCATAAAAGTTACCGAAAGCTGTAAACCATTATTTTTAAAATTAAAGATTCTTACGTTACCATGTATATATATATTAGAGATAGTAATGTTAGTTAGAAAAAATACAATCTACTTTATTAAGCTTCAAAGCAAAAGATATAAATTCAATATATGTTTACCAAGCAATAAAACAGCGTTATTAAATAAAAGCATATTGTGTATGGCTCCACGGATATATAACCATTTACCAATTTCAATATTACAGATCGATGATATTAATAAATTTAAAAATAGTATCAAAACACTGTTACTAGAAAAAGCATATTACTCTGTCACTGAATATTTAGAGGATAATTTTATGTAACTTGCGACATATATTAATTAATTTATGTTTTGTTTCTTTTTCTTTTAAAGACTAATTTAATTAATTGTTTTAAATTTTTATATTTTGTAAATTTGCATGCCTTATGGTAGGATATGGCTAATGGACATTTTGTTTATAAGACCTTTTATTTTGTACCCATTTTCGCAAATGAATAAATGATTATGATTATGATTATGATTATGATTAAACAATATCTCATTTTCACTAAAAATGACTTGTTGTCTTAACTTAAAAGAAAAATTACCGTCATGTTTGTTCATAACTTATTTAAAGCATTATAATGTTTTTTGTTTTGACGTCAGGTTTTTTATTTTATTTTAGAGGTTGGCTGGGAGGAGGATCTACAGAAAATACTACAATTGTAAATGAGCCATTGATTCGCTCAGAGGCTCTATCAATGCGCAATGGCCTGTTTGATGGACAGCGAAATGGCAACTCAGTGGCTGTATCACCTGACCGTCGGCTTGCTGCAATTGTGGACAGTTTAGGCCGTGTCGCAGTTCTGGACGTGACCCGTGGACATCTAATTAGGCTCTTCAAAGGTTGCAGAGATGCACAATGTGCATTTGTTCAGGTTTGTGTTGTGCCTGCTGAAATACTGTCCGTTTTGTTCAGCTGTCTGTTGATTGCGACTAAAGAGAAAAATCCCATATTACCTACGCCATGAGAATTCGGAATAATGTATTCTGAAGAATTCCTGTTACAATAAACTTATTTCCATTTTTTGTTGACAACTGAACTAAAATTGGTAATTGTTATTTACAGATTTTTGAAATGGAAGACAAGAAACCGCATTTGTCAATTGTAAAAGAACTAAAGAGAGCAATATTCTTAATCATATATAATCCAAAAAAAGGTCTAATTGATATAAGAATTATGCAAAAAGGAAACAGGGTGGCGGCTTTCACTGCGACTAAAAACGGGCTTCTACTGTACAATACGTGCGGTCTAGTCGGTGCTATGAAAAATTATTCAAACAAAAAAATTAATTTGCCTGAGTTTCAGTGTGTATTGATTGACCCAGATGGAACATTGAAGAGGTTTAATATTCCATTCTTTTATGCTCTTGAAGGAGAATACTCTCAAAGATCTAAAGACCTGCACACGTTGCGAGATTTACGTGATTACCTTAAAAAAACATCTGAGGACTCCGAAGGTTTTGTTGAAGAACTTATTAAAAAAGCGTCTGAATTAAAAACACTGGATTTAAAAAAGCATTGTTTAGATATGTTAGTAAGAAAATACGAAATAACCCCGAAAATTGTTATGGCTTGTCTAAGTCAATTCTGGGACGGCATTGAAAATGAGGAGTTGAGTGATCAATTAATTGAAATTAAAAACTACCTCGCAAATTTTGCCTTAGCAACTTTATTCTTTAGACACATGAATGGAGAAAATGTTGATGATATGCGAGATTTAGTTACTAAAGTACATAGCTACATTAATCCAAGCACTGAAGAACCTGAAATACCCAGTCCCAAAAATTCAGAAACTGATAAAGCTCAATTAGATGAGAGTCCGGAAACACCATGTTTTGAACTTTTGGAGGATGACAATTGTATCTTGGAGCGATTGTTGACATTAGCAAAAGAAAATAATTACAAGGAACAACATCCTAGAGTAACTTTTGCCATTAATAATGCTAGCGCATACAAAGAATTTCTTTCGTGTTTCAGTTTAGATTCTAAAGATACATGCATACGCTTGAAGTCTGAAACTACAACAGATCAAATTAATACCCTAGCCAGTAGCACGTTTAAATCCATATTTAAATTAGACGATGTCACACTGCTAAGTGATTACGTAAAAGAATGTAATATGGATCCTAAAGAAATAGTAAAACTATTAATTATGCAGGTGATGAACATGCCATTACAAGATATTAATTTGGAACTCATTGAAAAATTGATACAAGTTTTATATTACCTGTGTAATATTATAGAAGAAGCAACACAGATAGCTTACAATGAGACATCGCCGTGGTGGCAGGATGTTCGCGATATATTAGTGGATATGCCATGCCCTTTGAGGAGCATGATAGTGGCAATGGCTTGTAAAGCAGTCAGTCGGATATTTGAAATAAAATGTCAAGAAATAGATGATACTTTGTGGGAATCTGTAACTAAAGAAAATGCCAAATGGGGTATCCTTATCGGAAAGTTGGAAGATATTTCTATACTTAGCATTATACTTATGTTCAAAGATTCACTACCTGGAAATTCTTTACCGAAAATTCAAATGACGGAATTTAACATAAATCTAAAATACATATACACAAGAGGAAAAGGATCTGTGACTGAATTAATAGCCAAGTGGTTATGCAGTATGGGCGTTTTGCCTGAAGCAATAATAACCAACGAATTACTTGAAAAATATGCCGGCGTTGATTTAGAAACAGCATTTGATAGCAGCGATGATGACCATGATTACCTATATATTGAAAACCACCGTATGTATGTTGATGATAATCCTAAAATATTTAAGTGGCTCTCTCTTTTGAGACAACAGTTTCCGTTAAGTACATCTTCAAATTATATTATTGCTAATATGTGTTGGGAATATTCAATAGCTTGGCAAAAGTCTATGCAAAATTGTGAACTTCTCAACACAGTCAATCATTGTCTGAAGAGCATATCCGATTTGCATATAAGACTAGGTTTATATTCCATAATATGGTTTACATACATCAAGCATGTATTTGAAGCAAGTTGTCGGCTGGTGAACAAAGTAGGTCGACTACCAAAAGATCCATTATGTCTTCAAGATGTTGGATATGACAGTGCAAGTATGATAAAATTTCTTGAAGTTGTAACAAAGTACTTGGGTGAATTCTTAGACTGTTCTCAAATGTCAATTAGTCACGATAAAATAAATATACAATATGAAAAAATTTGGGACGAAAGTATGCCTTCTTTAGTAGAAGTGGCTCAAGATAATAAAAAAGTTAATAATGACATATTAAATTTGAACTATCAAATCTCGTGCACAGTGTACTACATGTGTCATTTTAACGTAAAAGTATCAAAACCACTAGACAGCTTGTATGATATTGACTACCAGTACATATTTGATTCATTAATTGATAGTAAACACACTAGAGAAATAAACATGAGACCATCAGAAAAACTAAGAAATCCAAGATTAAAGTTCTTAACAAAACTAATTCGTTGTGCTGTTGATACAATTACTACTAGTGATGAACTTGGATCACCCCAATACGATTGTGGGGAATGTTTTCCTTGGATTCAGAAAATAACTCTATTAGCGGAGTTATGGAACATCGATACTGATTTTGTACGACGTCAGCAGGTAAATGCACATTTATTAACTAAAAATTATTTATTCCATGTAACACTCCCCTTTGTGTGTATTGTTTTTATTAGAAGTAGAGGTCCTACGAGTACCCAAATACGTTAAAACTGTGTTCTGCATTCATAAATTCATAATATTTATTCATTCTGCATTTATGACTGCGAATCCTTAGTCGCAAGCATGACGTTTTTGGCAATGGGGTATTGATCCGTGATCCCTTTCATAATTGACTTGTAATCTGCAAGCTGAAATGGCAGTGCAGTGCAATAGCAAACGCCTGATGGACCCGGGATGTGCTCGTGTGACGACTATGAACTGCAAGATGTATCGTGTTCAAGCCTCCATCTCCTTTGTACAGCAGTAGAGGTCTTTCGGTGGATGATGAAACTCTCCTCATTACTTAATTTGGATGATATTGGCTACTTGAATTTTGCTTGAAAAGCTAACATTATTTCTCTTAACATCCAATTCTTTCAGGTAATAGCTTTGTACCACCTTGGATATGACATTTTGGCTGAGAGTATAATAAACTTGCTTACGGAACCAGAAATACTGCTAACACCACTTCTAGCAATAACAACACAGAGATTCAAGAGAAGTTTGGAACAATCAAGCAATCAACCAGAATGGATAGTAACAATGCCACCAAATCTCTACAAACGTCTTCAAAATGTAGTGAGTATTTAGTACCTTACAATAAGTGTAAAGATTAAGCCTACATTTTTATCATGGCTTGTTGGTACGCCTGTGGTTTGTGCCGCCCGGCATCAGTCAATGGCGCGGCTTGTGAGGTCACCGGCATTGCCGCGCAAGCTATATTATCAGCTATCAGACTGAATGGCCAGCTGCTGCGCTACTTCCTTCGTAAAACTATTCTTTGTTTCATCCACAGTTTGTACCAAGACTCCTTTTAAAACTAAGTACTTAACACATTCAGTGCCCCCGACGCGTATGTGCGTTTCCTCGCACGCACATACGCGTCGGGGGCACTGAATGTGTTAACTATGCTAATGTTAAACTATTTGGGTACATACAAAATATCTCATAATTTCATTTACATATTTATTTTTTGCTTTTAGGCTCTGGACACTTCAATACCAGCTCATCCATCATTGTCTACGACAAAAATGGTGCTTAATAGGTTGCTGTACAAAATAGACCAAAAAGAAAACTGCTCAGCAAATCCACAAGAGATTAAAGCAATACAACTTTTTATTGACAACTGTGACGTGTTGATTTCGTATAAACTGTAACCTTATATAACGACACCGCTGAACTAATTTTTGCTATATTGTTTATTTTTTATTAAGTACCTATAAAATAATAAAATATAGATGTCAATTAATCAGCAATGCTATCTGCTTACTCCATTTGTTTCTACTTAGTTAGGTGTTAAGATGAAGGCATTTTACAAAAACATAAAATGTAACTATACGTATTCACAGACATATATTTGAATAGATAACACTAGTCTCATTCCTTGTATAGAAACCAGGCGTGCGTGCCATTATTTTTTACCCAATGACGTCACGTGAGCGATTTCGTGATGGGAACTCCACGTCCGCACGTAAACGATTCAAAACCACCGCACCGTCGCGCTCAAGGTTTGTTCCGGCCGCCAGTACGCCGTCAGTCTTTACTCCACTTTCTTCAGCATTAGTTTGTATTGCGTTATAGACCACGCGAAGTGCATGCACTTGCGTTGTCTATTCAAATATAAGTCTGTGTTCGTATTGCTATTTAACATAAATATAGTACAATTCAAACTTAATGGCGGCTGTGAAGTTAGCTGCGAGTGAATTTTCGCGCATGTAGAGTCAAGTTCACAATAATTTGTATTTGAATATATGTGGTATACAGGTGTTGTTGTTGTTGTACATCAATATCAGTCGGCAATACGCCTGTTGCTGCCGCCACCCTTTTTTGAACGAGCTTCATAGGAATTCGAGGCCCGTCTGCATAAAACGTTGAAACCTTCGCGTGACATAATGACAGCAACTCAAAAATATATTCTTCCAAGAACAACAACAGTCAAAAACTTAACGTTAACAAGGAACCGATAAAAAGAAAAGAGTCAAAGTCATTAAACTTAACGGAACAATAACGACAAAACAATTAACAAAAAACTATGAGCTCGACTGTACGCAAGCAGGAATGCGCGCAAGTGTGCAGTCCCTCTACGTTCCGCTAATGCTAATATCCAAAAAATGTGTTCTGCGCAGCGAAACGAACGATGTTCAGAGCCGCCATTATGTTTGAATCGTACTATACCTACCCTCTATTCTCTGTCAAAGATACCTACTTTATCATTAAAAATAATTGATGTGTCATAGGTAAATTACTACAATATTGTTAAGTTTATTCATTGCATTAAAGTAAATTTACGAAACTACAGAACCTTCTCTCAAGTTTTATTCCTTAAAATAATAAAACTAAATTAGGATCTCTCTCATATCTTTCTCGTCTTCCTCCTCCTCTACGTTCTAGCGCGTGAGGGAACTACCCTCATCCCACCCAATTCGCCGGGACGTCAGGGCGCGGCGATATCCGACCACCGACGTGAGCGTACGGCGCGTACCGTTCCACTTCAAATTCAAAAGACCGCCACAGATGGATGGACCCGATTGGGCAGATGTTCAGCTGGAGTTGCGGGGTAAGCGGAATATGGTAACGTGACCTCTGCCTGGTGCACGACAAGAAACGGGGTGGTTTTTAGTCAAAACAGTCTGACACCCACTCTCGCCCCACCCTGGACAAAAATACCTAATAATCTGTACCTACCTCAATTTTGTGACAAGTTCACTGCAAACTGTCTTCCCTTAGTTATCCACCTCGAGCATGCTAAGCAAAGGTGAAAGGGCTCTACATAAATCGTCACTTAAATCCATAGGCGTCACAAACTCACAAGACAATTCACGTAGGTATACATGCACGTACCTATAGAAAGGTTTGCCGTCACTTCTTCCAGTCAGTTGTCGCTACTCAAGCTTTTTGCCAAGCCCATTGTGTGACCTGCCCCTTGCCACTTCAGCTTGTAGATTACAAGAAATGTTTCGGTAGGTAAGTCTAGTTGTAACGAAATATTTCAAATGTGGTCGCCCAAAAAAAAACTCCGGCCATACCTTTTTTCATAACATAAATGCACCAAACTGAAATGATTTGTATGTTGTTTATTCGCACAGATTCCCTAAAAATGAAGTCTGCCTAAGAAGTGGCATAAAGTCATTGGGACGGAAAATATCAAACCTGGACTTAGGCTAAGAACTCACGGAGCGATTTTGAACCGTGCCCGCCGCGGTAGCGGAACTGCGGTTTTATTTCCAAACTCACAAGACCGGTTATTTGCGCGGTTACACAGCCGCCGCGGTTGCGATCATCGCCCGCAAACGTGGCGGGCGATGATCGCAAGATTGCAAGACGGGCGGTTAACGATCAGTTGAGGTCCAGACCGTCATGGACACAGACCAGAAACGAGCCGTTGCGTTATATTTACTTCACAGAAGACCCGCTGGCCCCCGCGGTCGCTCGCCAACCGACCGCAAAGCGCGCGGGTGCCACCCGCCGAGGCTGCGGGTAACCGCGGCCCGCGCGATTCTACTAGTTGCCCGCCGGTACAGCGGGAGCCGCATACAACCGCGTACACCGCGGGCGTAAAACGCGTCGTGAAATGTGCTTTAATTTTTTATATAAATATTTGAATCCTACAGAAGCTGCGGGCCCGCAACCGCAGCGGACGCGGGCGAAAATCGCTCCGTGAGTTCTTAGCCTTAAAGCGCTACCTATTTGTTCATTACACTTCGCAGAATTATCCGTCAAAAATGATAATTCTGAACTTATAACATCAAGATGTTATAAGGCTGCGTGATGATGATGTAAGTGAAGAACATAATGAACATTACATTGTTCTTAATTTCCCGATCAGCCTGTCGATTCATCCAATGCTTTAATATCATTGTTTGTCAAGTTTAATATTATTAAATACCTCTACACAATTTTGTGTTTGACTCTAGTGATAAAAATACGATATTATTGTATTACGATATTAATGTATTTCTCATAATAGTCTTATATTATATACTTTTGTCACCTGCCACTCTCATCTCTCCACCATCTGAAGGTCGACTGTCAGACAATGCCTAAGGCATTAGGTCCGCCTTTACATTCTTTTGAATAAAGTGTATAAATAAATAAAAAAAATTATTACCGTAAAAAAATGATTTCAGCATTAAAAAAAAACACAAGCGCTGGTTCTGCGTGAAATCGAAAAGGTCGAAGAACTGTCTTCCTTCATGGTAACTCAAACACCCTTATCAGTGAAACAATATAAAAATATCAAAATGACTTATTATCTCTTTGAAATGAAGCATTTTGTTTTGACCTAATTGATGATTTGTTATATGGTGAATAAAGGTACTTTTATCTGAAATGTTTTGTCGTTTTTATAAACTTGTAACCATAGAGCAGCACGGGTGCGACATGGGTTGCTCGCCATCTGGTAACTAACCGGACTGAGCTCAGTCATCAACATGTGATCCACGCGTTTCTAAAAGAAACGCGACGAGCAACTGCCACTGAAGAATACAGGTATGGTTTTAGCCAGTAAAAGTCTAACATGCTCCCTACTCCCGTGCTCTACCCAGAGCGTGAGAAGTAATTCGATAATTTCTACCATCAAAAAAAATCCGAAGTACCTGCCAGAAGAAATGTATGAAACTCAGCTATCGATATCGATACTTTTTGGTTTTTACTACAGTACTTCCCTAGCAATGGCAGCCATATTACGGGCCATTTTGATAGTAGGTATACACGCGAATTTTGTAGGTATTTCTGATCCATATTATTTTTTTTTTTTTATGGCAATAGAGTCTCCACTATATAGTAGATGACTATTCTGCCAGCGTCATGTGGTATGGCAGATGGATAGATATAATTCTGACGAACTTTATCGCTTCGAGGTATGTCTGCAATGTTAGTAGCTGAAAGACAGGACACAATTTAGTTAGTAAACATATATAATAAATAACAGTTTATATATTTGAAAAAAAAAAACATTTAACACAAAACACACACATAGCATAAACATTTTAAACATTATTGTATTATGTATACATTAGATTTTAATATTGTTTTTAGTAATGAATTTAGCCAGAAGGTTAATGAGTTTAGGGGAGAAATGGGTTAATAGTGTGCGAAAATTAATTGGGAGGGGGATTTTAATACTAGGGAGTTCTTTATATAGGTCTAAATATTGGCAGTATAAGGAACAAGAAAAAAATATATGTTCGAGGGTACCCTCATCAAGACCGCATTCGCATACGGAGTTGTCACGAATGCGAATCTTGCACAGAAAAACTGGACTACTGCAGTGGCCAAGTCTAAGTCTACACAAGGACGTAACAGCTTGTTTCGGGATTTTAGGAAATTTAAAAAACCAAGGTTTCCTCTGGATACTAGGCTGGAGGGACGCGTAATAAGCTCCTTTATGCTGCGAAGTACTTTCCCATATCGAGGACCACGTGTCATAGAGCTTTCGTTTTGTGTCAGCTCGGATATCATAGCTGGGTATAACGAAATGGTGGCGTTCCGCTTCACCTGACGTTGCAAATTTTGCCAACGCATCGGCACATTCATTTCCACGTATACCAGAGTGGCCAGGGATCCAGACTATTTCGATATTAAGCCCTTCATTATGACAGCACCAAAGGAGGTGTTTAATATCTACAATTAGTTGGCTATGGGTTTTGGTGTGTAACTGATTTTGGCATAAAGATTGAATGCTACTAAGGGAATCTGAAAAAATGACGGAGTTTTTAATATTATGACTTCTAATAAATTTAACAGCTTCTAAAATTGCAACGCATTCTCCCGTGAAGACTGAAGCCTCTGGCGGACACTTAAAAAGCATAGCAATTCTGGAGTTCTGAAAATATGTTGCCACCCCTGTACAACCCTCTTGGGTCAACTTTGACGCATCAGTGTAAAACACACTCCAGCCCTTCCAGTACACTTCCAGTGCCCGCTCAAAGTTTCCAACAATGTTTGCCGAAGATTTTGAAATACCAAGCCCCAGAACAAGCTTTGGTTTGAAATGGATGGCTTCGTATGCAGAAGAGAATACAGGGAGAATTGGGGATTGGCTGACAGAAGCCGAAAGTGTTTTAAGTTCTCTGAATCTGACAATCACCGGGGGTATAGGTTTGTGGAGCCAGTAGGAAGAAGAATCATAGGAGAGGAGGATTTGATCCAAAATGGGAAGTAGAGGATGGGATGAGCGGGAGAGGACTTTGGATATGAAACGGTCTGCGAGGTATTGCCGTCGAAGCTCAAGAGGTGGTTCAGCATATTCCACTTGTAGGGCATTTATGGGTGATGATTTCATTGCTCCAATGATAGTCCTAAGGCATTTGGCTTGGATGGAATCCAGCCTTCGCAGTGCTTCCTTATTACAAGGTATAATAAGGAAACAGCAGTAATCTAACACACTCCTAACTAAAGCATTATAAACCAGCTTTAAAGTGCATGGATGGGCACCCCACCATACTCCGGCTAGAGCTTGGAGGATACACACGGTACGTTCAGTTTTTTTAATTACCGTGTCAATATGATCGACTCCTGACATCTTGGAATCGAGGGTAACTCCTAGAAATTTGGCCTTCGCCGTAATTGGAATAGTCTGACCGTTAATATTTATATTTAGATCTGGGGTACGACGTCTACGTGTAAACACAACAGCAGAGCTCTTTGGAGCACTCAAAGATAGTCCATGATCAAGAAGCCATTGGTTTAATGAAGCCAAAGAGACATTCATAGAAGATGCGGCATCGACTATAGAGTGACTGGAGACCATCAGTGCAATATCGTCAGCATACTGGAGAGATTTACAATCAAAGTTTAAGCAAGAAGGGAGATCAAAAGTATATATGTTGTAAAGGATAGGACTGAGGATTGATCCCTGAGGTAAGCCCCTCCAGGCAATCCGCCGTGCAGGGGTCTCCTCAGGAGTTCTTAATTGAAGGATGCGGTTGGTGAAAAGGCAGCAAATAATTCGTATAATCCCACTCGGAAATTTCAGCTGTTGCATTTTCTGCCTGAGAAGGGGTAGGAGTACGGAATCATAGGCTGATGAGATATCCAGGAAGACGGCCACCAACGACTCATCCCTGCAAAGAGCCAGCCGTATCGCTGAAGTGAGGGTACCCACACTATCAACGGTGCCCAGACCCTTTCTAAAGCCGAACTGAGTCGCCGGAAGCAGCTCCCGGCTCTCCACCAACCACTCTAAACGGTTCTTTATTAAATGTTCAAATACTTTGAGGAGTATGGACGACAGTGCAATCGGTCTATAAGACAAGTGATCACTAGAGTCTTTGCCAGGTTTCAGTAGAGGCATAATAACCTGAACCTTCCATGCTGTGGGAATGTAACCGGAAGTGAAACAAAAATTGGCCAAGTCAAGGTAGTACCGCCGTGTTTTTGCTCCACTTTTAGTCAAAAATGAGTACGGGAAACCATCTATTCCAGGAGCAGAGTCCTTGACATGGTTCAGAACTGTTTCAAGTTCTTCTATAGAGAACGCTACGTCAAGAGGATCACGAGTCCGTGTTAAGTCCCCTAATTCGCACTCTTCCTCTCCAGGGACATATGTGGGAGCAACGCTTGAAAAGAAACGGTGGCACAGATTTTCTGGTAACATGGGAACAGAAGGTGGTCTTGTGGAGTTTCTGAAACTTTTGACTTTTCGCCAGACAGTGGTTATTGGAGTCGATGGATTCAAGGCACTACAAAATTTTCGCCAGCCTTGTCGTTTCTTTTTTTTCAGTAGTTTCCTTGACCTTGCCAATATTTGCTTGAAAGATATGAGATTACCCAGGCTCATGTCACGGTTATACGTCTTTTCAGCTTCATTCCTGGCCCTAATCACGGCAGTGCAGTCACTATCCCACCACGGCGGGAGAGGAATTTTGTCTTTCGGCGGATTTTTGGTTGGGAAACAATCTGCAGCTGTGGAAGATATTGTTTCCGAGAAGCCGGAGAAGCATTCTGGAGCGTTCCCAGCATGAATATGTGGAAGGGAGGAGATACGGAAATCTAGCAGTTTGGAATAAAGATCCCAGTCCGCTGATTCTAAGCGGTATTTTAATAATGGAGGGAGGAATTTATCAAGGGTGGGAATGGATTGGTTTGTGACTATGATGGGATAGTGATCACTACCATAGGACAGATCTAAGCGCCTCCAGTCCAGCATGCTAGCTATGTTAGGAGAACAAAAGGTCAAGTCGACGCAGCTGTTCCTTTGGCCAAATGCAGACCTTCGTGTAGCACTGCCATCATTGATGATACATAGATTAAGCTCGTCTATGATCTCTAATAATTCTGTGCCTATACTGTCACACATGTCTGAACCCCATCTGTAATGATGACAATTAAAATCACCCATTACTAGTAATGGGCCACTAACAGTATTTAAAAAATGTTTAATTGACTGTAAATGACTAATGTGTGGGTGTGCAATATAAAAAGCAAAAATGTTTATATCCTCAACCTTAACAGCAACAACATTTATGTCATCACTAACAAAGGGTAGAGGAATATTAGAGTACGGTACTTTGCTATTAATAAACAAAGCACAGCCTCCATAACCATCTGGTCTATCATACCTGACACTGCTAAAACCCGGCACCCGGAAATTAAAATCCGGACTAAGCCATGTTTCAGCAATGCCACACACCAGAGGTTTGTACCTATTTATTAAATGGAGTAGGTCAGTTTTCTTCGGAAGAATACTCCTCGCGTTCCATTGAAGGAATGTTAGGGGATGGAATGTTACCAATATATTGTAGAATGTTGGTCAGTTTAACGGCAACGTGGTCAGGTATGTTTTGTGTAGGATTTTCTAATACTGCCATAAGCATATTAGTGATGAGATTTAAAACATTTTTAGGGTTACGGTTGTTTTCACCCTCCAAAGGGTAGGCGCAACCATTTTGTGATGGGGAAAAGGAATAGTTATGGATAAGGGCTCGGTGAGCTTGCTTATCATAACTAGGAGTCAGAGGGGCATGGGATTTAGGTTTTAAAAAGACAGTTTTACGGTAAGATTTGGGAGTTTGGGGAGTATTATTATTATGTTGGGGTAGTTTGGGTTTAGGTTGTTGTAAAGATTTTGAAACCTCTGCATATGACCTCTTGGTGGTGGGAAAGACCTGACTCGCTTCTGCATATGATATGGATTTTTCCGCCATGAGGGCCTTTATACTCCTCTGACGGCCTAGCTCAGGGCAACCTTTGCTATTGGCAAAGTGATTGCCATGACAATTGACACAGGTTGCAATGTCATCTGAAACCAGACAACCATCACCAGGATGGTCCTGACCACATCTGAAGCAACGAGGCTTTGAGCGGCATAAGGTACGTGTGTGTCCAAAGCGGCAGCAGTTAAAACATTGTACCGTGGGATATGTGTATCTTTCTACTGTAAGAGCAGTGTAAAAACAGTAAACTCGTTTTGGCAAAATTTGACCGTCAAATGTGAGGACAACCGTTTGTGTAGGTTTCCACTCTGAGCCATCAGAGGAAACGACTTTTCGGTTCATTCTCCTTGCCTTGATAACATTGCCACATCCAGAGGGGACCCTGATATTTTCAACAATTTCCTCCTCAGTCCAGTCTACGGGGACATCTCTAACAATACCCATACGTGTAATGTTAAACAGTGGAATGGAAGTTATATAATTATGTTGGGCTACGACTCCATTAATTAAGAAGCTGTTAGCGTCTTGGTGTGACTTAAATTCCACTGAAATTTTATTTCGTCCTAATCTTTTGACACCATCCATCCGTACATTGTTTATGTTGTTCTTCATTAAGAACATGCCAAATTTCACAGGGTGTAGGGTTGTGCCTGAGGTTTGCGAATCTCTCAAAGCAACATGAACAATATACGGTGGAGCATCATTGGGTGTGTAGCACTGCCTACCGTTAACTTTTGCCACTTTGGGTGGGTTAATTACAGTAACTGGGGGAGATTGTGCAGGTCTTTTTCTATTTGAAATATTTTCTGCATCCATGGCATCATTTCCGGGGTTGGGGAGGGTAACAGTCATTACAGGGGTGTACTCGAATAGTTTATCTGGAGGGTCGGGAGGTTTTTTAGCCTCCATATTAAAAACAAATAAAATTAAATACTCTTAGTATTAGGGGAAATTTTACTCACCTTACCAATAGTTTTTTAAAACAAATATTGGACAATCACAACACAGAGGTGGTTTCAACTTATAATTCAATAAAATAATATTTAAGTTGAAAAAAAACCTCGTGGCACTGACAAAAACACCTATGTCCTTCACCACTACCTACGAAGCTCAGATCCATATTATTGTAGGTCTGTGGAGAAACGTGACTTGACTTCTGTCATTGTCAAAATATTGAAAATTGACAGTGTCAATGTCAATCTCTGTAAGAAGTAGTTGGTATTGGTTCGGTGACAGTGAATGAAACAAATGAAAATATCCCTAAAGATATTTTAATCCGACTTCATCTTGATTTTCGCTGTGTATAATTAAATAAATAAGTTTATAATCATGGCTCCGAAAGCTGGTGGTGATTCCGCTAAAGTTAATTCGGCGGTATACAAAGATAAAAGCAAACCAACTGATATTCGGCTGAGTAATATAAGCGCCGCTAAAGGTAAAACATCTGCAACTTAAAGTGAAGATTTTTCAAGTATTCTTAAAAGAAAGAATGTTTAATTAGAACTAATAATCAAATTTAACCTGCAAACAGAAGGTTTACCCTTATAATTTATGAAGTATACACCGGTAAAACCGATAAACTCGTGATTTATACTCGAAGTCTATGGTTTCTACATAAACTTTATTATTTTATACTGATTTTTCATATTAATCATAATTTAACATCATATCTAAACCGTTCTGTTAACCGTGTTGGGCACAATCCAATCAACTAAGTATTTTACTTAGCAAAGAACCCAACCTAAACCAAGTCTTAAGTAATTTTGCCATCCAGATATTAGATCATGTGTTGATCTATTCACGATCAATATGATATCCGATATTTCTATTGGATTTTTCTAGAACTCATTTTTATTTAATTTAGGAGAATCTGCCCCTAAGGCTACACCACCACCACCCTACTTATATGTAATCAAGTCATTACAAATAAACCTTGTTTTTCAAGCAATATTCTTGTATTCTATAAGTTTAGGTTTCTTCACAATGTTTTCAATCATCATTTGTTAATAGGTTTCTATCAAAACATTGAAATCACATTGTTGTTATCAGAAAAAAACACACTACTTGCCTGGTTTTGGTACTCATTTTTGTGAAACTTAACCCAGAGCCTACACCACATATCACACATTTGAGTTGCACATTCACTGGATATAATTTTAATTACATTTATGTATATTTATTTTAGCTGTGTCTGATGCTATTCGCACAAGCTTGGGTCCCCGAGGCATGGACAAAATGGTAATTTAATTTTATATCTGTAATACAAATATTATGAACCAAATTCTATAATTTAGTACTTTAAATTGGATTAAATATTTGCAGATCCAAGCCAGTAATGGTGAAGTAACAATAACCAATGATGGTGCCACTATTTTGAAGCAAATGAGTGTAATTCACCCAGCTGCTAAAATGGTAAGTATGAAAACTTAAAGAGAAACATTTCTATCCTTTTCTGAAAGAACTAAATATATAGATAATCAAGAACCATGCACTAACTTTGTTTAAAATCATAATTTAATCATTTATTTGATATTCAGTTGGTGGAATTGTCTCGTGCCCAAGACATTGAAGCTGGTGATGGCACTACATCTGTAGTAGTAATTGCCGGTGCTCTACTTGATGCTGCTGAAAAACTTCTTCAGAAAGGAATTCACCCGACTGTCATCTCTGATGGATTCCAGAAAGCATTACAAATGGCTTTGCAGGTAAACACTTTATCTATAACTTATAGACCTGAGTACCTAGCACGAATGACTATCGTAATCGTAACGTTAACGTATCGAGACGTCGATACTTCATGTGACGAAAACGGAATGTCGCAGCACGAAGCCTATCGTATCGTCTAGCGAGAGCTCGAATCGAATTCGTTAGTGACGTCATGCTAATGTAAGCTAGAGAAGCACCCAAGTGAACGAATTGAATGAATTCTTGAACATAATTTAACATAAAGATTTCGTCTAAAAACTAAAATTAATTTTAAACATATTTCAACCTTTGTCTACACCTTTTATGGTATTATATTTAAATGAAAAAATATTAATTACGTGAAATAATTCTTAAAACGAGTCAAGAAGTATATAAAATGACTTTATCTATGAAAAAAATATTATTTGGTTATTTAAATTTTGTAACATAATTTACGATTTCCGAACGTTCTTTTGACAAAGGTGACGGTGAGGTGACGTTTGTCCAGGCCATAAACTCCAAAAAAAAAAAGGTGACGTTTGACGGCTATTGACGAATTTTTTTTAACAAACAAAACAAAGAATGTAGATAATTATGCGGCTATCTTATTATGCGGTTAGTTTAAATTTATTTTAAAATGAGGAGGATTCGGCTCCAATACGAATTAATGGTGGATTTCAAGGAATATGCCAGTGACAAGCAGCGAGCCTTCAGTGATCCGACCACTCCGCAGTACCCATGAAGCCAGCCGTTTACCGACACCACCAGTCGCCAATCCTCCATTAGAAAAGGAAAGCTGGAAGCCTCGACCGAAAAAAAAAATCTAAAGGGAGTTTAATCAAATTGTGTTTAAAGAATGATAATAAAACCTAGGGAGTTTGCTAGGGAGCGTGAGGAAACATATGATATAATGGAACAAGAGCGTTTGGAATTACGACGAGAAGAATGAAGAGTAAAACAGAGAGATGCAGAGCTCCTTTTACAGGCTCAGTGGCTGGAACTTATGAGAGAGGCAATAAATGTATTAAAATATAATCTAGTTAAAAAGATGATTTATGTATATTTACATATTTTATTTTAAATTACTACATTTTGGAATGAGGAAAGATTATGTTAGAATTGAATTTAAAATGTCTCACTATAGTTACCTATTATAAAAACATAGGTAAGAATAGTTTTTAAGTTAGATTAGTGTGTAAGATGTTTTGGAAATGTATAATAATAAAACACTTGGGTCATCTGTGTAGTATATTTATTTGCTGTACCAAAATATTACTTAAAGCCCTTTCACTTATCAAATCATCGCTTCTATCATTTTCATGTCTCATATCAGAAGATGAGGTATGAGACAAGTCTTGATGTTCAGCTGTTGTTGTATCTACCTGTGACTCAGGCACATTAAAGTTTATGACCAAATTATGCAACAAGCAAGCCGTTGTCAAACACATTTTTCTGGAGCATAATGCAGAGTGCGGTCTTTGGACAAGCATCGCCTCTTCTTTCTTTTACTGCAGTATATTGTGGCCCGGAGTTCCCTCTACCGCATCCAAAATGAGTAGGCGTCATTAGCCATGGTCGCTGTGGGTAGCCAGAATCACCTGTAAAAAAATATTTATTAGAAAACCTAATTTATACTAGCTACTTCCTCGCGGTTTCACCCACTGCTCGACTCCTATTGATTTCATTTTAGCATTATAAGGTTAGTTTTTGTTGGAGTTGCTCACAGAAGTACTTGAAAGCTTCTTTATTTAGGCGGTACCTAGTATTTCTAAACTACGTTTCAGTGATATCCATTAGATTAGATATCTTTCTGAATTTAGCTCGGCACACGATTTCTCTAGAATAATCAGTTAATTCGTATTATTTTCTTGAATACATATGTCTATATTAAGTGAAACATAACTTGAATAGGTAGGTACTTAGGTACTTACGAAGTTTCTCTTGACTCTTCATCTCCAAGTAAAATAGCCACAAATAAACTATTTCTCTAACTTGGTTCGTTCAGCGGCGGTCTTTGCATGATGTTATGCTCGTAAAGAATACTCACAAACTTTATAATATATTATTTAAAACACGATTGAAATATTTCGAAACCTTTCTCACCGTCAAATTCTTAGTGACAAATGTTTCGACAGTTTTCGATAGCCAGCCTTCGAAACTTACTTTACTATACGTCAAAAGATCGTTCGTGCTTCCAATTTGTGTCAAAATGTTCTAAGTTTCGATAGCAACACGATACGATTACTATACGATAGTTGTCAAAATCATTCGTGCTTGCGATTTTTAGTTCCTTTTACGCACGGTAGGGGCGCTGTACAAATCCCATAGAAAATGCTTTCGATCTCGATACGAATACTTTCTCGATAATGTTCGTGCTAGGCACACAGATGAGATAACAATAATGAGAATTATTTTACCCTATAAGAGTTTTTAGATTAGAAGTTATTGGTATGTCCATTATATTAAAATACTATTTTTTATTGTCTCTTTTAGGTTGTTGAAAATATGGCTACTCCAGTAGACTTGTCAAATGAGGATGCTTTGTTGAAGGCAGCTGCAACATCTCTGAACTCTAAAGTTGTGTCACAACATTCAACAATTTTGGCCCCTATTGCTGTTCAAGCTATTCGTGCTGGTCAGTATTTTCCAAAAATATTTTTATTGTATTATGTACACAAATGCTTTCTAAACATTATAGTTTTTTAATAAAATGAGCACTTAATTAATTTTTCTCTTTGCTTATTTAGTTATGGAACCAATAGTTGGTGGTGTGGGTGCAAGAGTTGATTTACGTGACGTTAAAGTTATTGAGCGCATTGGAGGAACAGTGGAAGATACTGAATTGGTTCAAGGGCTGGTTATCCCACACCGTGCATCAAATGTCAATGGCCCTCATAGAATTGAGAAAGCCAAAGTTGGACTTATCCAGTTCTGCATTTCCCCACCAAAAACAGATGTAAGTGCATAGTAATTAAAACAAATAAATTTTAGCAATATATGCAGATAACGTTTTAATTTAAAATCAATTGATAAGTTTTTTATATTAATTTTATTTTATGCTATTTATTTAAGATGGACCATAATGTTATTGTATCTGATTATGCTGCAATGGACCGTGTCTTAAAAGAAGAACGTCAATACATTTTGAATATTGTCAAGCAAATAAAAAAAGCAGGTTGCAATGTTCTTCTGGTGCAAAAATCAATTTTACGGTAAGATTGCTTAACAGTATTTAAATATACCTTCCAACCAGTACTGCCCATTACTCATAGGTTTTTTTATGGACGCTAATCTGAGCGCAAATTTAGCTTGCGCGATTTAGGGTTTATGATATCGTAAGTCGATTTTTATCGTGTATCTATATATATATGTATATAAAATCATCTTTAATTTCTTTCAGTGATGCATTGAGTGATTTGGCTATTCATTTCTTGGACAAAATAAAGACAATGGTAATTAAGGATATTGAACGCGAGGATATAGAATTTGTATGCAAAACTCTTGGCTGCAGACCTATTGCTTCACTGGACCATTTTACAGCTGAAAACCTTGTTAATGTCGATCTGGTCGAAGAAGTCAATGAGCCTGCTGGTAAATACATCAAAGTGAGTACTTTTCCCCGTGTAAAATAAAGTGTTTCACAAATTCTACTAGTTAAGAAATGAATTGTAATATGTGTAGATGAGTGGATGCTCGGTGGGTGGGCGCACCGTGTCCGTCCTGGTGCGCGGATCAAGTGGCGCCGTTGTGGCTGAAGCTGCGCGATCTCTGCATGACGCGCTTTGTGCCGTGCGCTGTGTGGCGCGCCGGCCCGCCTTGGTGGCGGGCGGGGGTGCGCCAGAGGCAGCCGCGGCTGCAGCTTTAGCACGAGCTGCATTGACCGCGCCAGGAGCAGACCACTATTGTCTACGTGCCTATGCCGATGCTCTTGAGGTGGTGCCATCCACACTTGCCGAGAATGCTGGTAAGCAAGCTTTATACAAATGCAACTAACTCTATTAAGCATGTTTTCGTCTCTATCAAAATTTGGCATTGAAAAGAAGACATTGTTGCTGAAATTCAAACAACAAGTTGGCATTCAAGGGGCAACTCTCAATTTATTAAAATCATCTTCAGAAAAGACAACTCAAAGGACAAGTAAATAAAGTAAACACTGTGTTTTTAGTATATGTGAGTGACCTACCGAAATGTTGTGAAAAATTATGTTTGTAATCGTGAATGCCTTGTACCCTATCGTCGTCACCTCGGAGTTGTCATGCCCACTCAAAGTTCAAACTTAATTCCCAATAAGATGGTTGAGTTGGGTGGCGCCGGTGTACAAGAATGGGCACCAGACTGTCTAAATATTTTGTCCAAAAGGCACACTGTTTTCACACTTGAAAATGTAACAATGAATCTGTTTGTGAAACTGATTGAAAAAAAGTAACCATTGAGCTTCTTGCTCTCTCTTCTCCATCGGAATCTGTACTTTGGAATGAGCAACAAATAGCTTCACTAAGAAGAAGGCTGACTAACACTTTTTATTTTGAAGCTTTGTGTGACGTTCAATGGTCTAATCTAATCGAAATAAATCATTTATTTTAACTTTGACTTTGAATGTTGTAGGGCTGAACCCGATCGAGACAGTGACCGAACTGCGCGCCGCCCACGCCGGGGGCGCGGAGACCGGTGCAGGATCAAACGCTGGTGTCAACGTGCGGCGCGGTCGTGTCACAGACATGCGTCAGGAGCACGTACTACAGCCGCTCCACGTCACTGCCTCTGCTTTAGCACTTTCCACTGAAACCGTTCGTGCTATTCTCAAGATAGACGACATTGTAAGTGTTGATTACTACATTGTATTTATAATTGCTCACAAAATCAAATTTGATTTAACCTTTGACATGTTAATATCAAAATTCACACCTCACCACCATTTTTTCACTTCATCCCAATAATCATAAAATATTGTATTGTTTGTTTCAGGTAAACACGTTAAATTAAGGACCAGGAGGCTTTGCAAATGTGAAAGCATTCACCTAATATTTCATGATGTTTTAGTTATATTGAGTAATTTCAGCATTTTAAACTAATGATATTTACTAAAGAATTAGATTTAATATTCTATACAATACCTAACTATGTATTAGAAGTAGCAATGCCAGTAGAATCCAGGTTTTGAATGTACTGTTCTGCCAAGTAATGCTTCATTTATTGTTATATCCAAACTTGGATTCCTTGCTTAATTTAAACTTGTCAGTAATATCTGCACATAAAGTTGCATTATATATACAACTTTAAAAAACTATATAATCACACTTGATTGAACTATTAAGTCACATTACTCATTATTGCAAGTAATTGATGTTTCCAAAATTTATTTTTCGATACGCTTGGGTATCTTTTGTCTCGTTAGCCAGGTGTCTACAATGCTTATTTCATAAAAAGCGAAAAAACTGCTAATTGTTTTCGCATTAATAATTTGAGTATTATACAATATGGATATTTATTTCTTAATAAACTAAAATTAACAACAAACGTTTAATATTTATTTAAATAAACGAATATATAAAGTACCTATACTTTTTAACCGACTTCAAAAAAGGAGGATGTTCTCAATTCGACACGTTTTTTTTTATTCACTATTAACAATGCAAAAATCACGCATGAACAGCAAGACCAAGTGTTCAACTTTGGTTTTTGAACGCGGTTTTTTGGAATGCCCAATCCTCATTTTTATTTTTTTGTTAAATATATAAATGCTTTTTACCACCTACTTGCATATAACGTGACTTGTAAAAAAAACCTCATTAATAGCACAATTAGCACAAGGTAGTCACCGTAAACCACTAAGGTGTTCCCTTAGCTATCGTACGACCTCACATCACCAGACCCTTAACACATTCAGTGCCCCCGACGCGTATGTGCGTTTCCTCGCACGCACATACGCGTCGGGGGCACTGACTGAATGTGTTAATGACAATCTTGATATAAATCAAATCAAATATCATCAAAAAAATATGCAAATAAACCAATCTCACACACGGCGTCATTGCTGGAAACCCTCGAGGAGGTTTCTTAGTTGTCTTCCGTCTCTCCTATCAGGCCAACATCAGACCTTAAAACTGAAGTGTGTTAAAAAGGAAATGTCCCCAAGTGTCCCCATCAAATTTCAAAATTACAATGACTTAAGACTAAAACTAATCTCTCATAGTTCGAATAATGAAGTGATCCTCGAAAAAACATAATTCTTTATTACTTTTAAATTATGGTTCTGTTTTTTTTTTAAAAAAAAAACGTCGCCCCACTTTAGGATTTTCTCCTGTGTCGTGGGTGCGTTTACAAACATACAATTTCACATGCACCATATCACACCCGGACCCGGAACAACAATCTGTGGATCACAGAAAGAGTTGTTCCGTGCGGGAATCGAACCCGCGACACGTTGCGCGGCAGCCAGTTGCCCAGCCACCGCGCCAACCGTGCTGTCGAGGTTCGATGGTTGAAGTTACGCTTTTCTTAAAGGCGGGCCTAGTCTATTAAATATGTCTATATATGTAGCTGATCTGAATCCAAACTTTTTTTGAATCGGTTTGGAAAATCCTCATGGAGACCCATCGGTACTGTCAGACTCTTACTGACTAAAAACCAACCCGGTGTTCCTCCACTTACCCATGTGTCGTAGGGGTGGGTATCGCCGAAGCATTCGTCGCAACCCCCCGACGGGTATAGGCCCCCCAGATGTTTTTTGGCGGGCCCCGTCACCCACTGCGGCCGTCACCCCGACCGCAGGACTCCACTATGAGGCGCGCGCGGAACACGGCGCCGCCGCCTCGAGGCCTGCTGCTGGTCGGACGACAAGACGCCCCGAGTATCTCATGTAATAAGCTGTTCTCGAAAGTCATCAGGAACAATCTCGAAGGCCGGCTCAACGACTTCGTGCGTCTCGAACAAGCCGGGCCCCGAAAAAGATTCACCAGATTATCCAAACTAATATTATAAATGCGAAAGTAAGTCTCGTCTGTCTGTCTTTTCTTCATGCCTGAACTGACAGACAGACAGACGAGACGTACAAATTTGGCACAGACATAGTTTGGAACTCGAGAAAGGACATAGGATAGTTTTTATATAAAAAATCTGCAGAAAGTCACTATTTCACGCGGGCAAAAGCTAGTATTTTATACAAAAGACAGGTAATATACGGATAATACAAAAAATGGGTAATCAGCAATACTAGTAGTAATGTACACTAACACTGAGATTTATTAGGAATGGAATAGGTATAAGCACTGATATCGGGTCGCAGCGAGCGTCCACGTCTGTCGGTTGGCACTACCCCTTCCTTATCCTAATGCCCGGTTCCTATAATTGAGAAAATTTTGTTTTAGTTACGAATAGTAGTTTTATATACGACTCGTAAGCTAAAACCGTTCCTACTGTATGGGTCAGAATGTTGGGCTCTGAAAAAGACGGATGAAAAGCGATAGAGAGAGGAAGATGATGATGAAGCTAAAACCGTTCCTATAATAAACGTCTCGTCGTGCAACCTACTGATGGCTTGCAACTAACGGATGGGAGGGTAAGCATATTGTATGGAGATGGCAGTCTATGGTGTTCCTATGAAACTCACTCGGGTAGTACCGGTGCCGAAGGGCAGTGGTGGGTCTGCTGAACCCTGTGACTATAGGCCGGTGGCAGTGTTGTGCACTCCAGCTAAGGTCTTCGAGTCAGCAATTCACAGCAGCCTGTACCCACAGGTAAGGGCATTGCTATCGGACGCGCAGCACGGCTTTCGTCCTGGGCGGGGAACGACGGGGAACTTGTTAGATCTTATGACACACGTTGTGCCAGCGGTAGATGCTGGACTACAGGTGGACGTGGCCTACTTTGATTTTCGGAAAGCCTTCGACACTGTAGATAATGATATCCTGCTTTCGAAGTTGGCCGCCGCAGGCTGCACTACGCACACTTTGACATTCTTTGCAAGTTACTTAAGAGACCGCGGTCAGTACGTTGATTGCAGTGGAAGCCTTTACGAGGTCAGGGGTAAGTCAATGCAGTAACCTAGGACCCCTACTCTTCATATTGACCGTCAATGACTTGCCGAATGTAGTTTATAACGCCACACCATTATTGTTTGCCGATGACCTTAAATTAATTTTAAAAATAGAGCAGAAAGAGGATCATCATATATTAAAGCAAGATATAACCAGAATTGAAGAATGGAGTTTAGAGAATAGATTATATTTTAATGCGGCCAAATGCTCTGTGTTATCATTCAGCCGAGCACGAAACCCGAGTCATCACCAATATTGCATGGACGGAAGGCCGCTGCAGCGGGTCTCTAACGTCAAGGATTTAGGTGTGCGCTTCATTGCGGATGTGAATTTTAGGACACATATCATAAATGTCTGTAAAAAAGCTTACCGAAATTTAGGGATGATATTACGGTTAGGTAAGCAATTCAATAACTTAAACGCACTAAGAGCACTGTATGAAGCAATTGTAAAGAGCCATCTAGAGTGTAATGCCGTTGTCTGGTCGCCACATGGAGTTAAATATCAACTGATGCTCGAGCGCATACAAAACAAATTTACTAGATTTTTGTATTCAAAAATGTATGGTGTTTATCCAGGTTATCCACTGTTGTACCCGACTCTTTTTGTATTAGGCATGGTGGGGTATTATAAAATTGAGGTGAGGAGGGATGTAGCTGTCGCCACTTACTTATTTAAAGTACTTCGTGGCAAAATACATAATCCACGCATTTTACTGCTTATTCGGTTGTGTGTCCCGGACGCATACGCGGCGCGGCGGCGGCGGCCGGCGCTGCTGGCGGTAGGTACCGCGCGCGCGCACCAATCTCTTGCAGCGGATGCCCCTGACGCGGGCGCTGCGAACGCTCAATGCCATGTCGGAATCGGAACAAATTGATATATTCAACTGTACTCTGAATGAATTCACAAGAGCCGTGTACTGTACTTGTTCAACTTGAATTTACTTTTATGTTACCTATTTTTATTTTGTATTTTTTTTTATTAAGTATTATAATTTTCCTAACCGATAAGTGTGTAGAGTAGTTTAGATTAAGTAGGTACCTATAAATTGTCAATACACTATTGCATTAGGTTGCCCTGTAATAATAGTTGTATTTTGTGATAAATAAATATTTTAACCGTCGGTAGACGGTCAACATGACTATTCGTAATGTCATTTGGTTACGTGCCGATGTCGATCTAACCGATCGAGTAGAATTTTAAAGTAAGTTTACTGTTTTCGCTTTTAAATCTCAAAATGTCGAGTTCAGATATTGATAAAGAAGAATTTAATATTACATCCAACTCCAGTGAAACCGATTAAGAAGAAAATAATAATAGGCGTGACAAAATATTATAAAGAAAGAGTTTTGCAGCTGTGGCTGTAGAATGAATTTATTTTGCGTTGGCGGGAGTAGTTGGCAAGAGGTGTCGCCGTTCAGAAAAAACACTTCCTTGATTGTAAAGTTCTTCTTTTATTTTCCTTATTCCTTTTCGTAGTAATGCTGGATTCAGAATGCCTAACCAAGGAAAACTGCCTTCTTTTACAGAGACCTTCAGCCAATCAGAAAGCTAGGAGTTTGCACACGGCACTTTCCATTTTGGCGGCAGCCAATCAGAGTGTTTTAGGTTTTTACACTTAGAAATTGTCTACTTTGTGTGGGGAAATCTTATTTTTCAGTTTTCCGTATTTGGTTTGGGCATCCTTTACAAGGTGGTAAATATTATTTTTACATAATTAATAACTTATTCTAACATTTCACACTTAAAACTAATATAAAATAAACATTTTCCTGCTTTAAAATCGTAAAAAACTATTACAATATGTTCTCGCTACGGTAAAGCTTCGTGGTACTTAAGCTTTTGCGACCATCATCCAAGTGGCGCCCTCAGGTTGCGGTTATATTACACATAGTTACAAATTATTTTCTTTTAATTTAAAATATAATATCACAGTAATTATAATTTTCTATTATTAATTGATAGAATACCAGATATTGTTTATGGTCGCCATTGACTCTATGGTTTGGATTTTGACACAACAATTTTGGCGCCACTTTTTTGGGCGGTAAGACGTGTAAGGACAAGTTGTTACAATTATTCAATATTGAACACGTATTTTATTTAAAAGTCCGCCTCTAATTTACTCGGCGTACGAAGCCAAAATTATATTCATAATATCTTACGTAAATTATTTTACTTACGTTAATTACTTTACTTACGTTAATTATTTTATTTACCTACGTTAATTATTACATTAACATTCATTTCAACGCTTATTAAATAACAAACAATCTTAAAACGACTCGTCTCTTTATTTGCTAATTATTTACGTATATAAAATTGAGAGTTTTTAATTATATATTCATAAATCTTCACACATATGTATGAGGTATGAGGTAGGTAGAAACTTTGGCACGTCTATTGCTTATTTCTAGCAAAGCTCTTTTGTATCATCATTCTTTAATCATAAAAGCTTTTAATAAAAATAAATGGAATTAATAAATTATAAATGCAAAATACCTAACTTAAGCTTCACTGAACTCCTCAATATCGGGATCTATATCTCGTGTGTTTGCACTAGTTTCCAATTTATTATAGAAGTCATGGCAACTACTATCAATTAAATGAAGAATACTAAGAAGATCTCGTTTTTTTTCTTGACTTATAGGCACTTGACAATCATAACATTTCTCGGGATTCAAAGATTCATTAGATTTGCTTCTTCGACAGAAAGAAATCTCCTTAAACTCGGTTGAATTATTTAATTTTGTTTTAAACTGTATTACACCTGGTCCATGTTCACTACTAAATCTAAACCATTTTACATCATGCCATATGAATTTCTCGCCAGATGCATCTACTTTTCGTAACTGCAAAGGGCCTTTATACAATTTAGCGAAGTTGAGAAACATACTGTTATCCATTATCACGACAGAAATGTTTGGACTTGTCATTCTGACTAAGTTGTACCAGTCTCTTGGCAAATGTATAGCCATATCAGTTCTTTTTTTCTTTCGTTCGATTTGTGCATGTACAGAATCGCACTCCATGTGCGTATGCCCGGGAACTAAAAACTTGTGATTTATTAGCAAACCTGGTTTCATTTTGCTTATGCATACAAACATAGCAGCAACGTGACTATTTTTGTTTTGTCCGCCACACGTATCAGAATAAAATGTAACTTCTTTCACGTGTGATGGCAATGTCATTAAAAAATTGTAGAGGCACGAAGCTATTTGATTAGCTCCACGTCCACCGTCAGCTTCACTCCACATGTAGCAAAAGCTTTTTTTGCTATAACAATCGTAAATAGTCAAATTATAAGTCCACAACAGCCGTTTGTAGAAAACAATATTTGTTTTTAAAAAAGGGGTTGGAAGACATTGTTGAAGGTCAAAACAATAAACTCTTTTAACATCACTCGACTCTTCTTTGTCCTTTTTTTTCATGGAATAAGCTGAATCAGCTTCTGCCTGATGGATCTCAAGTTCATTCTTCAAACTTTCTGTATCTGGTGGCAAAGCTAATTTAATTTTCATTTTGTAGGCGTCACATGTATTGCAGGTGTCCAAAGAAGGTTTCTTAAAAGAAAGACCCATAGTACGAAAAACATTTCCAAAATAGGTGTATGATACAGGATTACTGACTATTTCTTTGTACATTTGGTACATTATTGTTAATGACAGTCCGGTCGGTAAATAGCGTTTGTTTGTATGTTTGAATGCGATTCATATAATGGATAAGAATTAATGTGATCTTTGATTGCTTGTACTGCATCATCCCCAATCTTATTAGAAGGCACATGTGATCCACGTTTATCAGGGCTTGAAATTCCTGTTACCCTTACAGATTTCTTTTTTATTGCCACTTCGACACATTTATTAGATATTCCAAATGTTTTTAAGAAACATCCCTTACAAATTTAAATCATAGTGCCATTTACTTTTAAGTTGTAAATATGGTTAATGCTCCGGACTTTAGGTTCACCAAGTGTATTACGTATGCGTTGGCTCTTTTTAGGTATATCTAAAATTAATGATGACAAATAAGCCGAACGTTTGTTATAATCACCCAACGCCCATAATTCCTCAAAAAGAATTTTTTGGGTTTCTGCACTAATTTTTTCTGAACATTTCTTACGGCAAAGGGGTAGAGGAGTAACTTTTCTTGACCGAATTATTTTACCCGATAGTGTTTTATATGTCAGTCCTTTGTTTCTTTTATCTTTAATTATTTTTCGTATATTTGTTCCTTTTGATTTTCGCCGTTGATTATGTTCTTCAGTTATACTCGTAACTTCAACATTATGGTGATCATTTTCATGAAGAGAAGTCTCAGATGATGAGCTTCTATCTATTTCAGGAGCGTATGTCCTATCAACTACACTATCATCTGAGCTGAAATCGGCTGCTTCAGTCGGCTCTGGGATCTGTAAATCCTCCTCATCCACCAATGTTTCATGGCCTGAGAAAAAATGCATTAATAATATAACTTGTTGTATTAGCTAGTTATAAGAAGAAAAAAATCAGTAACTTTTTTATTTTCAATACCTATACAAAAATGACAAAGACTGAGAATGTTATGAATGAGGATGTTACAATACATATCTAGGCCCGAGCCTACGGCGCGTAGCGTTCCGCGCGCGCCTCAAAGAGCCATTAGACCACCACAGACGGGGCCCTAAAGGGCTGATGTTTAGCCGGGGTTGCGGGGTAAGCGCAATGAGGCATCGCGACCTCGGCACAGAGCAGGAGAAGGAACAGGGGGGTTTTTAGTCAGTAAGAGTCTGACACTCGGGTGTTTCTCCAAAAAACCTTAACTTTTATTTAACAAGTCATTATCCTCCCAGGTTTTTAAGCATCTTAGTAATTTATTTTATACAATATTTTTAATCGGTTGCTTGTAAGCAGTGGTGAGATTTAATTTAATAAAATAATTATCTGTGTTTTAATCAGCAGACTTGTTAATTTTCGGTTGAGGATAGTGACATTATTAAATTTCTTTTAATTGATGTGAAGAATCACCCACTCCCTCCTGCCCGGCCCTGGGCGGGAGAAGTCATTTGATGATTTTCCCCTCACAAAAAAAAACAATACATATCTATACAAATATACAGGCATAATGGCATATATTTTAAATTATAAATACCAACCAGTTAGAAAATCATGAGACTGGAATCCTAGGTCAGAAGGAGTGAGTAACTCATCTAACATTTGGGCAACCTGCAATTGCTCTTCAGTCACCTCACTGCTAACTCCAGACACATTCATCGACGTACTACTGAGATTATCTGATATATTTTCTTGTAAATCTGTAAAATCGCACAACAATAATGTGAGTATACCTACAATATTCGCGGCGAGTGCGGCAACTTACCTACATACCTAAGTACTCTGTCTCACAGTCCGTGATGTCACACAGCGCGCTAACAATTAACTAGGTACCGACTTAAAATAAACCATCCACTCAATCTAATGTAGGTATCTATTTAATAATTCTAAAACAATAATACAATCTATTTAAATTATACTATTAGTAAGTAATCATTCAACGAATAATAAATTTAAAGGTTAGAATGGTAAAAGTTAGGTACAAATCCATCATACTTACGTTCAATCGGACTTCCATTTAGAGCCAGTGACATGATCTTGTTAATCCTATTCATTTCTGTAGCTTTCAATACTCCAAAACACTCGTAAACCAAAATTTTAGGATTTTTTACACAGTTGCACTGATAAAAACACGTCAACTTCGCGCGCGAAATGCAACTAACGCGGAACAACAAATAAGTATGAATTTAGGCACGAGTCGACTTATCTCATTATACCTAATTTTATAAGTAAAGGATCACGTAGGTAATAAGAAGACAACTAGACACAACTCCTTTTTACTTTTTGGGTTTTGCTATTTATGACTAGACTCGTATTTATTATTTGAGATTCACGAAATTAAAATGCATTATATTGACTCATCTCCTTTTTACCATAATACTTAGTGATATATTTTACCCAACTGTGTAATTAACTCATTTTTCAAAATTTCTGACTCATCCCCTTTTACCTTAACACCACAGAAATTAACTATTGGAAAAGGCGTCTTACTATAATTTGGGGTCATCGCTAACATTCTCCCCCGCGGTGCCTTCTTGTGGACGCGATGACGCCGCAGGAACCAAAACGATGATTTTTCTCGTTGGTCGTCGAAGTACTCCTCCCGATGTCCGCACATCTAGCACTCTCGTTCTTCCATCTGGTCCTGGATACGTTTTGATGACTTCTCCACGGGGCCACGAATTTCGTGGCAGTGTTTCGTCGACTATCATGACGACGTCGCCTTCTTTAGGATCGCTGGTGGCTCGGCCGTCGATTTTCCTCTGCATCGGAAGGGGTAAATACACCCCGACCCATATCTTCCAAAAATGATTACTGTTCTTACTAGCCTTTCCCATGCTCCTCCCATGTTTGGGGTTCCCGGAGGGATGAACTTCCACTTGATTCCCTTTTCTTCTGCGGCTTCTTCTAGCTCCTACAAAATTAGTCCCGTTGTCGCTGAAGATAACCTTCGGTGTCCCCCTTCTAGCCGCCATTCGTCGAAGTGCCATGATCATTGAGCTGGTACTGAGTAAAGGCACTAGCTCTAGATGTATAACTCTGGTGGTGAGGCAAGTAAACAGTGCTCCCCAGCGCTTTTCAGTTCTTCTTCCGATGGTTACTTGCATTGGCCCGAAGTAATCTACCTACTGCTGCGCACGAGAATGGGAATTGATGGTGTTGTAATCGTTTCTCCGGTATATATAGGTCTCCCATTGGCGGTATTTCTGGCAGTTTCTTTCTCACCTTGCACCATTGACAATTGTATGAGATTGCTTTCAACGTTGCTCGTAGACCCAAGATCCAATACTTCTGTCGGATTTCGTTCATGACTGTGCCGTGTTTGCATGAAGAAACTTCTGGTGATAATGTTGAATGTTAAGACGGGCGATTTTCTGATTACCATCCAAAATAATAGGGTTCATCTTTCTTCTTTCTTCACCGTAAAACTTCATGGTTCCACTTCTTAATTTAATTATTCCGTCGTCGTCTATGTAGACGTCGATCCTCTTAAGCCGACTAGAATTGTCCAATTTTGGTTTTCCTGTTTCAGACTTCTTATTTCTGACGTAAAGCTGTCGTTCTGGTTCGGGGAAATTTAAAAAAATGATGCATGGTCGTAAATTATCTAAAGTTATCATTCTGTTATTTTTTGTAGAGAAATGAATGAATTAAATCAATTTAATTGTTTAATAAATTTAGAATAATAAAAGTGCAGTGTGATAGAAAGTTGTGCTTCCATTCCAGGGAGCTTGTGCTCAATTTCTGTTTCGACTATCAATCTGTGGCTATTGTGAAGCCATGTAAAAACCTGTAAGTAGTTTAAAAACTACCCAGTAACCGCTTGAAAACAACAATCAATTAATAAATTAGGTCATCATCATCAGCCTGTTGTCGTCCACTGCTGGACATAGGCCTCCCCAATTGCACGCCACTGAGCTCGATGTTCAGCTCTTCTCATCCAACCACTGCCAGCCACCCTGCGGATGTCGTCAGTCCACCTAGCTGGAGGGCGCCCTACACTACGTTTGCCTAGACGTGGTCTCCACTCTAGAACACGTTTACTCCAGCGGTCATCGGTTCTTTGACAGATGTGACCTGCCCACTGCCACTTCAGTTTGCTAATCCTTTGGGCTATGTCGATAACTTTAGTTCTCTGTCGGATCACCTCGTTTCGAATACGATCCTTCAGAGAGACTCCAAGCATAGCCCTTTCCATAGCTCGCTGCGCGACTTTAAATTGGTGGATCAGTCGCACTGTAAGTGTCCACGTCTCGGCTCCGTATGTCATCACTGGTAGGACGCACTCATTGAAGACTTTAGTCTTCACGCTTTGCGGTATCTTTGACGAGAATACCCGACTGAGTTTCCTATACGCTGCCCAGCCAAGCTGTATCCTCCTACGAGCCTCCCTCTCGAAGTTGTTTCTACCGAACTGGATAGTTTGCCCGAGGTAGACGTACTCTTGAACAACCTCGAGAGGAGATCCATTGATGGTGATCGGCTCCGGGAGAACATGTTCATTGAACATGACCTTCGTTTTTTGTAGGTTCATCCGGAGTCCGATGCGAGCAGAGGAATCAGCCAGGCCGTTCAGCATACATTGTAAGTCCTGCACGGTTTCAGCCACGATTACAATATCATCTGCGAATCTCAAGTGTGAGAGATACTTGCCGTTAATATTTAGGCCCCGGCCTTTCCAGCGCAGCGTCTTGAACACATCCTCCAAAGCATTAGTAAACAGTTTGGGGGAAATAACGTCCCCCTGTCTTACACCCCGATGCAGGTGGATAGGTTCAGACTGCTGGTTCTGTACTTGAACGACCATAGTGGCAGCATTATATAGATCTCTCAACACTTGAACATACCGCCGGTCGACTTGGCACCGTTGCAAGGACTCCAGAACAGCCCAGGTTTCGATAGTATCAAAGGCTTTCTCGTAGTCCACAAACGCCAGGCATAAGGGCAGATTATACTCTTCGGTTTTCTGCACAATCTGCCTCACTGTATGTATGTGGTCCACGGTACCATATCCCTCTCGGAACCCGGCCCGTTCAGGGGGCTGAAACTCGTCGAGTCTTCGCGCGAGACGATTTGTTATGACCCTAGAAAACAGCTTATAGACGTGGTTCAGAAGAAAAATAGGTCGATAGTTCTTCAGAAGGGTTTTGTCTCCCTTTTTGAAGAACATAATGATGACACTTTTGCTCCACGCCCTTGGAGTTCTTCCCGAGAATAGAACGGAATCAAACAAGCGTTTAAGTCGCTCAAGCACTGGCTTTCCACCGGCTTTTAGGAGCTCCGTTGTAATTCCATCCTCTCCGGGGGCTTTTCAATTTTTAAGCTGCCCCAAAGCCAACGCAATCTCGTCGTGGCTGATCTCTGGCAAGTCTTCGGTAAAGTGGCGGATAAGCGTAGCCCTAGGATCCCCCGAGTCTGGATATGGACGCGGTGCTTTTGAGGTGTACAGATCTCCGTAAAAGCGCCGAACTTCCCCGAGAATTTCCGGCTTAGAAGAGACGATATTACCATCCGGTGTGGTCAACTTCATCAGATGGCTTCGATTTAATTTCTGGCTGAAGACTTTTGACCCCCGGTTTCGCTCAATCGCTTCTTTTGGTATATCAATAGGCTATCAATAAATTAGGTAGTATTTGTAAATGCTTTAAAATTAAACTAGCCTAATCTTTATATTTTTATTCAATTTATGTGCGCGACAAGATTTTCATTAACTGATTAATGAAAATCTCATCAATGTAATTATGAATGTAAAGGAGTTCTCAAGTTTTAGATAAATTAAGCTATAAAGTTCTCACATTTTCGTTTACTAATTGAGGTAACAAAAGTTAAAAGTTGGCAACATTGTGCAAAAAATCGGGGAAACGCGGAGGCGGGGCGACAGAAAGGGACGCAGCTATTCTGTACGTTGGACGGGATCGTAGTATGCCTACGATCTCGGCGATCGGCGCGGTGGGCGCATTGACATATTCTATCTCAATGGGTGGGCGCCGCGGCCGCTGCGCCGTGACCTAGGTGACCTAACTCTAGCTAGGTAGAAATTGAACAGTCGATTTCATGCGTAATTCTTTAGAGAATTTTTACAACCATTGCTTTTTTTTGTTTTAGCTGTGTTATTTACATTAATGTTATTCTTCATACAGAGAATGTAATTAAACATTGAAATAGAGCTTTAGGAACTGGAAAAACGAAAAATAAAGTTGAAATTTTCCTGAAAGAATTTTCACTGGAATACAATGAAACAATTTATTTTTGCAAATAGGCCATAAAACGGCACTTTTACACGTCAAATTATATGTGAAAAACTAGATGAAGCCGGAATTTGATTCAGAATAAGGAGCTGATTGCACTCTGTTAATTTGTGGAGGGCTGTCCCTAACACCCTGTATATGTTATATGTACATGTACTTTGAAGTACAAATCATACTTAATTTATGTACTTAAGTCGAATTTAGTAAATTAAATAACAATTGAAAGCTAACATTTTATTGTAAAATTAAGCATAAATGCACATACATATCTACCAAAATAATCAAGAATTACTAATCAAAAACATGTAGTGAATTTATCGAATTATGAAGATTTGAAATATTTGTCAAATTTTTTTGTTTAATTTTGTTATAACGAGAGATCAGAGCTTTGTCCCTCAGTTTTCTCAAAAGTAAAAGTTCGTTGTAGGATGTAGGTACAGCTATCTCTTCCGCTCATTGTCAACCTAGCTCAAAAGTGTTAACTGCGTCACTAGTAGTCAAATTCAAACTAAGTAAAACAATTTCGGTGGCGCGTACGAGTTGTGACCCTGTTCAAACCTGCGTGATCTACATTATCGAAGATTGTCAAACATAATTCAAAGTCATGTCAGATTACAGGAGGCGCCGGATTAGACAGGGGCCGGATTACCGGGGGTCCACTGTAAATTTAAAGGTGTTGGTAAATTCCCTCACTTTCAACATAAAAAATTATAGTGGCCATAATAATTTATTATAAAAAAAACATACAAGACTTAAACATTAACGTTGATATGGATGAATTTGGTTGGCGGCCTTGATGTTGGTTTTGATAGCAGAAGGTGCCTTTGGTAAAGATGGAGTAGCCTGACCAAGTTGAGGGGCTGAGCCTCGCGATGGTCCCATTCCTGGAGCTACACCTTGTGGCACTATTGAAGGTATTCCTGGTCGCAATCCTTTACCAGTACCCACAGCAGTAACCAAAGCATGAGTGTCAGAAATGCTATGGGTTGGTTGCATACCTACAAAACAAGAAGAATATAATTTAGTATGTACACATATAAGGGAATTTCTACATGAAGAATTTCTTGTATTTTGATTTGATCTAGATTAGCCTCAAACTTTAAAGTAACTAAGCAACTTACCTGCTGATCTCATAGAGTCTCCATCCCAATCTTCTCTGCCTTTCGATATTATTTCCCAAACATGGCTCACTACTTTTGTAAACTGAGCAACTTGTTTCTAAAAAAACAAAAAATTCTAAATTTCTTTTTTCTCACACATGTAACATTATATGTACTTATTTTTTTTTATAAATTTTACCTGTGCAGTATCATAGCTGAGTGTGCTGGCTTTATGATTAAATTGCTGTAGTCTTTGTTCAGCCTGAGGTTCAGGTTTAGTACGTAATAAATCTGGTACAAGATCATGTGTACATGCTGGAACGCGCCCTTCAGTTAGTCGAGCCAATGCTTCATCACGTTCACAGCTCAATTGTAAAGGCAACACAATTCGTGATTTCAATGAAGCTGCAAGTTCTACTTGTAATATCTTACTTAGTCCAGTCAACTGAAAATAAGATGTCATGTTTATTTAAAGAAAATTATCCTGAAATTATATTTTATACTTAGAGTTAATGATACTTTTTAAGACAGACAGACAGGAAGTAAGGAAGCTTCTTTAGGTGTACATTTTATTGACTACTTACATGTCCTGACAAAATTGCATAGTTATCCAAAAATGTGGGCCAGTTTATTGTTTCATATTCGGTTTCCAGCTTGTTTATAAGTGCCTGTATTGCAGTCTTCAAATCATTGACTCTGTTTAATATCGCTTGAATTGTAGTCTCCAGCTGTTTTTCTTCTCTTTGTTGCATATTCATTTCTCTTTATGACACAAACCAAATATGAATGTAAAATGTTTTTGATATGTATAATATTACGTTTTCGTCTAGCAAAGAGAATTATTACTATACTCTGTGATATAAGCACTACGTTTACGTTTACGTTGTCGGACAAATTTTCAATGATTTTGACATTTTGACGCTTTTTGTATGCCACAGATTAATAAAAACGTAAATTATAAATAGTCAAAGTTGATAGTAATCTATGGCTTTCTCCTATCTTTAATATATTAATATACTATATTTATGTATATTCCATGATTTCAGTTAATTTTGCAAATGGAATTCTGTTTCTTAGAAACATAACTCCACGCAGGGTTGGTCTATATAAAAATTTATAACCCCCTCTTCAAATGACCCCTGGGGATGTCCGCAACGATTCGGTCATTTAATTTATACAAATACAATATTAAGGTAAATTAGGTTAGTAGAAAACAGCTGCTGAAATACAAATAGTAAAAAAAAAACATTTATGACAGATGTTTGCCAAAATTGACGTTTGTTCAAATTCATTTGACGTCTTTGACGATTAGACGTAACGTAAATATTGTGCTGTGCCGTGTTATTTTTACTTAACCGTGTGGAGGCTTAAACATTTTCAATTTAGTAATAATTACGACACACTGAAAATATTTTATTTATAATACTGTAGCTGAATACTTTATTGTATTGACTTTCATCATCATTAAGTCATAATTATGGATATTTCAAGCAACAATTTGGATAAAAGGTCTACTCCATCTGTTCCTACACCTGATTGGACAACTAATGCACAGAATGAGGTAAATTGCTACTTTTTAATACAACCTATTATTAACAACACAGATTATACTTATATCATAAACATCACACATATAAAGCCACAGGATTTTAAGTGGTTTACTCAAGGGTACTCATAGTATAACAGATTTTTATACTGCTGATACAGAGCTATGGTATAGTAGCTCGTAAAATATCAAAAGAGTTTTCACAAAAGATCTTAGGAGTTGTCAATTCTATTTTGATTACTATTAAAATGTGAATATTGAAATTCCATTATCATTATAAATTTATTCTTTTACTTTTACTTTTACAACAGATGGAAATTCCCTTAGTGGAAGCTCCAGCACCATCTACACCAGCTCTTTCCAGTAATCATGATAATAATTTATCATCAAAGTATATTCAAGATGTCACAAATGAATCTCACACAAATAGAGCATCTGTAATTAGCAGTACTACAAATCCTACCCAAACTCCTACTCAATGTGGAACACATTCTTCAGTTATAACTCCTGCCATATCAACTTCACAATCCCTTATAACTGGGGAAGTAGCACTCACTCCCACCCATAGTACCTTTACACCCCAGTCAATCAATCCTCACAGTGCAATGACTGCTATCACCCCTATGGTTAGTGGAACAGATCAAGCTCGGAGCAGTATTAAAGTTCAGTAAGTAGATTTGATGTCTTTTTGTTTATTAGTCACTATATCTAAATTGTCAAACTTGACTGCTCAACAATGTCCACAAATGGTTTTACACTAGTGTAAATAAAATAAAATAATTGACCTGGTTAAGGAAGAGAATAATGATGCATTTGGCCAAATTAGAAAGTATAATATGAAAACTTTTTTATTTCAGAAATTGTGTATCAACAATACATTTAGGTTGTGAATTAAAATTGTTAGATATTTACTGCAGAACAAGGTTTTCTGAATACAATCCAGCAAGATTTCATGGTGTAGTTATGAAAATTATAGACCCCAGAGCAACAGCACTGGTATTCAGGTATTTTATATTTTTGCTACCTACCTACACTAGAAGATCTCTTCTGTGCAAATTGATGTCAATTTTATTTCTTTGCTAAAAACTTAATAACTTTGGCACTTCCCTTAAGATTGATATTGAATTAATTTCTCCTTGACTCTTCTATTCCTTTAGTTAAAAGACAACTATTTACAGGTCTGGTAAGGTATTGTGTACAGGACTTAGAAATGAGCATGATTCCTATATAGCTGCAAGAAAATTTGCAAGAATAATACAAAAACTTGGTTATCCTGTAAGTTGAAAAGTAAAATAATTTTATATATAAAATAATGTATTATGCTAAGAAGTTGTTAAAATTTAGCAATTCTAATTAAAATTGTAAACAATTAAACCTATTTACTAAATATTTTTAATATTTCAGGCAAGATTCCTGGACTTCAAAATACAAAATTTTATTGCTACTGCTGATTTAAGATTTCCAATAAGACTAGAGGCACTACAACAAGCACATGGACAATTTGCCTCCTACGAGCCAGAATTGTTTCCTGGTTTAGTGTACAGAATGGTTCGACCAAGAGTTGTTTTATTAATATTTGTTAATGGCAAGATAGTGTTTACAGGTACAGATTTTTTTATTAGCATTGTCCATTCTTATTAATATTTTTGTGATGCATAAGTAGAAGTGGCACTCTTCAAAATAAAAACAATTCACAGCCTGTCTTACATTTTCGTTCGTTTTTGACGCCCGTCATGGCGCCGAGTGCGATTGCACCCCTCGTAGTGCCCTAGGACCAGGCCTAATTAAAATTCATACATTACGTATAAATTAACACAAGAGATGACACTATGTTATAGTCACATTATGGCAACACCTATTTTCACCAGTTTTGTTAGGGGTTAATCTCAAAACTTTTAGTGAAAATACATGCATAAAGTATTTGATTTTGAACTAACTTCCTATGTTTATTTTTTACAGGCGGTAAAACAAGAGGTGAAATCAATGAAGCACTTGATATTATATATCCAATTTTAAGAAGTTACAGGATAAGTTAGTACCTTTTAATGTTCTTTTTAATGAAAAGGCAATCATTGTTAGTATCCCCGGCGAGATTTATTTTTACATTATAATTATTATATTGATTCGGATGAAACTCATAAATAAATTGTATGTAAATAATTTATTTAAACAGGTAGTTTATTACTTCTTTAGGTAGTTCATTCACATTTTTATTTCAATGGAAATGTATTTACCATTAAGTGTACTTACCTAATTTATTGTGAATATCCTAATAAAAAAAATAAGTTCCAAAGTGTTTTCGTCTTTTACTGTAACATTCTGTACACACATCACAAACTATTGATAAAAAGCAGTTGGTGTAGTGACTGCGTAACAAGGGCGGATCCAGCTTTGGCGCCAAATTTAAAACAAACTTTGTGACAATAGATGCAAATAAAAAATAGGTGGCTATAATTTTATGAATGTACGACTTTACGACTGTCCGTAACTACTGTAAGTTGTTGCTGCAGTGGCTGGACAACTGGCTGCGGTGAACGTGTCGCGAGTTCGAATGGATCTTTCTAGTGTCGTTACACTATTACCGCCACCACCGCATGAGGAATCTACTTTCCTCGTGCCCCAGCCGCTGCAGGAGACATTCCAGGCTTCGGGGATCACGAGACGGTCTCCGGCCACCGTAAGCGTGGGTCTGCAGACGGCTAGCAAGGGTTATTCGCCACTTGACCAGATCCTGACCTGACCGTGCGGCGCGTAGCGTTCCGCGCGCCTCAAAGAGCCTATAAACCACCACATACGGAGCCCAGAGACGGGGGCGTTTTTAGTCAGTAAGAGTCTGACAATCCCGACCCTGGGCGGGAAAGTCATTTGTTGATTTTCCCCTCACAAAAAAACCTAGCTGCAGGGCGCCCTACACTACGTTTGCCTAGATGTGGTCTCCTCTCTAGAACACGTCTGCCCCAACGGCCATCGGTTCTTCGACAAATGTGACTGTTAGTATCCCCGGCGAGATTTATAACTGCCCACTGCCACTTGAGTTTGCTTTGGGCTACATTGGCAACTTTAGTTCTTTGCCGATCACCTCGTTTCGAATACTTCAGAGAGACTCCAAGCATAGCCATAGTTCGCTGCGCAACTTTGGTGGTGCTGTTGGATCAGTCGCACTACTCGCACTGTACCTAAGTCTCCAAGTGTCGGCTCCGTATGTCATCATTGGTAGGATGCATTTATTGAAGACTTATCTTCACACTAAGCGGTGTGTTCCTCTGTGGCCGGACCACAGTTTAGTACTCGGTATCTCTTTGACAATGAATATCCGACCAAATTTCCTATAGGTAATGCTGCAAGCCAAGCTGTATCCTTCTACGAGCCTCTCTGTCGAAGTTGTTTATACCGAACTCTAAAGTTTGACCAAGGTACGTATCTACTTTTGAACAACCTCGAGAGGAGAACCTTTGAGGGTGATCGGCTCTGGATGAACATGTTCATTGACCTTCGTTTTTTCTAAGTTCATCCGTAGTCCGATGAGACATAGTAATCATTCAGACTGTTCACCTAATATTTTGCGGGGTGAGGGGGTATCAGACTCCGCCCATTTATTTATGCGGGGCAGTGTGAAAATCGCCTTAGGTAGGTACTCGCTGGTTCAATTGATTTCGCTTTGTAGTTATGTAACTATTTCAGAATAGTATATAGGGTATAATATAATAATATATAGGTTCGCACTCAGAAGGTTGTTTTTTATTTTGTATACCTAAATATGACGACCTTTTTAAGGGGGACGAGCGGAGCTTATAGCAGAAACTTGTGTTCAGTGGCTACCAAGACGCTAACGCCCCGCTCTGGTTCTTTACAATGACTACTTTTTTGACCCGTAAAGAGTTTATAGCGACAAACATACCTACATTCTATGGCATAACCACCACACCTCACATCAGTGGCGTAGCTAGCATAGGTGGCACCCGGGGCGGATTTTATAGGTGTCACCCTAAAACTCAATCGAAACTGTTAAAATAAAAAAAAGTTATAATTATTTACGTTTTATTAAAATATGAGTACCTATTACAAATATTTTTTTATTTTGCAAAACAAATTAAGTTTGTTAAAAATTAAAATTTCTTCCTTCTAGCTTTGACACTAGCGAACTCCGAAATCACGTCTTCAAAATTTATATTTTGTGTTGCTTCATGTTCTATCGTTAAAATACCAAGATTGTTTAATCTGGTTTCGGTCATTGTAGACCGCGAATAATTTTTAATTAATTTTAATTTGCTGAAACTTCTCTCACATGAAGCTACTGATGCACATATTGTTATAAATAACTTTAGTGCTACCGTAAGATTCGGAAGAGATTCTGTAAAATCCCATTCCACAATAAATTTCAAAAAGTCCAGTATCACCCAATTAGAGACAGTAATATTAGCCGCTTTTAAATGTCTTCTCAATCTTGGTATTTCTAAAAGGAGTTCTGTTTCTGATACTTCATCGTAAAGGTTAGTAAATTTTGATATAGCTAATTTTAACTGTTCAGTGTTTGCCGAAAGCAAGGTCTTTGACTGCACAACCTCAAACAATGAAGCTACGTCTTTAATGGACTTTACTCTTGTTTCGAGTTCAATATTGAATCTGTCAATGCATTCTAACATGTCCTTTTGAAGTTTCGCTCTAAGTGTAAGTCCAGCATCGGTGGACGACGCTAACTCACCGGGCATGCGTTTTTTGCGACGAATTCGTCGTTCCATCGAAATGTTGTATTTTTCCGATTTTTGTACAGCAAAATCTATTGCCTCTTCTGCTAGATGCAACCCTTTCTCTCCAATGAATAGACGAAGTGCTTCTAGTTTTATGATTATTTCATCAACACATAAACCTTTACTTTGTAATGCAATCTGAGCATTGTTCACTTCCCTTAGCACATCATTCCAAAAGGAAAGAAAACAAAGAAATGAGAAATTGCACATAGCAGGCATAAGATTTTGCGCAGCACCTCTAGTTTCTAAATTTACGTCTTGGTCACGTAGTTCCTCAATTAAAGGAATTACCTCCTCAAATAGGTACTCATATTTTAATAAAACGTAAATGATTATAACTTTTTTTATTTTACCAGTTAATTTTATTAGTGGCGGTTATGCTCTCTGCCGCAGATTTACGATTTTTCATAAATAGAAAGAACTATAACTGATGGTCATAGTCGGGCTCGGGTGTCACCCCTAAACGGGTGACACACGGGGCGGGCCGCCCCCGCCGCCCCCCCTTAGCTATGCCACTGCCTCACATTACCAGATTGGGTACCATTAGCGTACCTCCTTAAAGAACCAGATTAGGTACCGTTACAATACCTTGGTGAGCAACAAACCAATACCTTCGTTTTTTACCTTCTATTGCGAGAAACAGTAAAACAAGCCGCCTTGAAAAAGGCGCTCGGAACGTGTTGGGAACTTTTTTGACTTCTGACCGAAACTCGTCTTGAAAGAGACGTTTGTAACGTTTTCGGCTTTCTGACAATGAAACAATGAAACAATGAATTTATTTTTGCAAATAGGCCTTAAAACGGCACTTTTACACGTCAAATTATATGTGAAAAACTAGATGAAGCCGGCATTTCCTATCTGACTACTCTGAGAAGAAATGCCGAAACAAACTCAGAGGTCAGTCTCTTTTCAAGTCCAGACAATATAAAATAACATAATGTGAGAGAACCGTGCAAGTTCATTCTGTAGTGGTCTTTTGAGGAAAGAACCACACCAGTTTAAGTGGACCCGTTCTGAAGACAGGCACGCAAGTGTCAGTTTGCAACCATATAGCTAGTGCTGTTGAGTTGTCCGACGAACAATACCGATCAAAAGAACATTTGGGTGGGTCGCGCAAGTACTCAAACTGTCAGAACTCAGATGACTGGTGATAAAAAAGCACGACGAGTCTCACACGGTCCTTACACTAACAATAATATAAAATAATAAAAATGTCAACAAATAAATAAAAAAAAAATGTCAAATAAAAAATAAAAATGTCACAATAGGTGATCATGTCATTGTATAAAAAAAAAATAAACGTAATGTCAAATTGTATATAAAAGTGTAACTTATGTTACAAACATGTCAACATGACCTGTGCAGACATTACAGCGGCTCATTCCCAAGCCTGACTATCCTCTAAGTAGTCTTTTATTTTATAAAATGCTTTACAGCAAAGTTTAGCCTTTATTACACTTTTAAATTTATTGAGGCTCAAATTTTGAATATCGCTAGGAATTTTATTGTAAAAGCGTATACATTGACACCTAAACGAACTACTTATTTTCTGAAGCCTGGAGGCAGGCACAACATATTTGTTTTTCCCCCTCGTGTTGATATTATGTATATCACTATATTTCTTAAATAAGCTTTTGTTTTTATGAGCGTGAATTACATTTTCATAAATATATTGAGAGGCAACTGTCATTATTTTAGATTCCTTAAATAATTCTCTGAGCGAATGCCTCGGACTAAGATTATAGATTGATCGAATAGCCCTTTTCTGCAGAACAAAAATAGACTGGATGTCAGCAGCATTCCCCCACAACAAAATACCGTATGACATGATGCTGTGGAAATAACCAAAATAAACTAACCGCGCTGTATCTATATCTGTTAAATTTCTAATTTTTTTAACGGCATATGCTGCAGAACTGAGCTTCTTCGACAAGCCATCTATATGTGGGCCCCACTGGAGCTTAGCGTCCAGGATTATACCTAAAAAGACAGTTGTATCTACAGGACTCAACTCCTCGCCCTTGACAAGCACACTGGTTTTTATCTGTTTAACATTTGGTGTTGTGAATTAATTAAACGGAAACTCGTCTTGAAGATGTTTGAACGTTTTATTCTACCCAACCCACCATACCTACCCTCCTCTACCTACCCTACTCTACCTACCCTACTCTGCCTATCCTACTCTACCTACCCTACACTACCTACTCTATCCTATGTCCTTCTCCTGGCTCTAAACTACCTCCCTGCCAATTTTCAGCTAAATTGGTTCAGCCGTTCTTGAGTTATAAGTAAAGTAACTAACACGACTTTCTTTTATATAAGTAAAAACCTCCGGGGCTTGGCGCTATACCACTATTTTAATGTCGCAAAATAATGAACAATTTATTGGCGCCAAAATAAGAAAACACAATGAAAAAATATATAAAATGACAGATTCCAAATTCAAATGTAATATTTTGTTTATTTTTAATTGTAA